AGAAAAGTGGTGGAATGGGCTCCTTATGTGACTGTTGAAAATGGGTGAAAATGAAGAAGAAAGAAGAAGGTGAAATGAAAGAAGTTGGGTAAATAATTTGATATAAATTGAAGGACATTTTTGTCATTTTACCATTAAAACATTTTATTTTTTTTATTCTATTTCAATGTTGGTCAAATGTCATTTATCCAAAATCATTGTTGAGGGGGTTTATTTGGCCAAATTTCCCTTTTATTATTATTATTATTATTTTTTTTTTAAATTCTCCTTTTTTTTTTGGAGAGAAAGGGCTAGGCCGCTAGGGGATTTACGAGGGCAATTTTGAAATTTTCACAAACTAAGGCAATTTACAACAGGGGCGGGACGGATCGGGGTCGGGGCCGGTCCTCGCCCCATTACCCATTTACGGTAGGTAGGGGAGGGGTTGTATTTGATAAATTAAGTCTTTTATTGTTTGCATATTTTTTAAATAATCTTAGTTACCGTTTTTTTATTAGAACTAATGAAATTTTGTGAAATTTTCTATTTTTAAGTATTGAATTCTAAAAAAAAATTTTTTTTTAAAAATAAACAGGGCGGGGCACCCGTTACCCGTCCCCGCCCCATCCTGATTCGAATACCCGATTAGGTGTGTTATTGGAGATATGATTTGTCGAATTTTTTTGTCATCCCTAAATTTTTCCAAACAACTTGAATTAAAGGGGGTGTATACAATTGAAATTTTTGAAAACTTTCATGAACTTTTTTTAAGTGATAACTTTCGTGATTTTATGATTTTCTTTAGAGATTTATATGAAATAAATGAAAGTAGACTTATAAACTTTCATTTGAAAACTTTTAGAAATTTTTGTAGAATTCAAAATAGTTTTGAATACTTTCATTTGAGATGGAATTTATGTTGATCTAATGTAGTGGTGGCAATCGAGCCGAGTGGCTCGTCGGCTCGGCTGGTACTGTAGCAGCCCACAAGCCGCTCGAGCTCGTCAAAAGACGAGCCCGAGCACTCGTCGAGCCTGCTCGGCTCGTACTGTCGTCGAGCTTCTAGCTACGAGTCCACGAGCCGAGCGGCTCATGGGCTCGTTAAAAAAAAAATTGGCAAAAGCCAAAAATTCAGTGACCAGAGCGGTTACTGAATTTTTTTTTCATTTTTTCTCTATAAATAGCTACCACCTAATCAACATTTTTCCCACCAATCCTCTCATTCTCTACTCCACTCTTTACAATTTACAAATTATCAATATTCTACAATATCATTCATAATTCATTCATTCTATAATCATCTTATCATCTTCTACATTTTTTTTCACATTATTATCTTGATTTTACTTTTATAATTCATTTCATACAATATTACATAATCTTCACACACTTCTCAATTTTACATTTCTATTTTCTACATTCTACTTCAAA